AAAATGTGCCTTAATCTGCCAAACATGCATATGAAACACTACTGCCTCTAAAGATGATCATCAGCATGAACACAAATAGTAAAATATTGTTTATTAGGGTCTTTTAGCTATCTTAAAGAAACCAAGATACTCAACTCAAGATACAGCCTATGTAATATTCCAAAGGAAGGCACAAACTTTTTTAACCCAGCTGACAGTGCTGACACAGCTGTTGCTTTGGTTGAAAAGCCCCTGAAATTATATCAGACAGAAACAGCTAAAGAATGCCTCAACTTCTGCTTAATTAACCATAAATGTCTACAGAAGGACAATGGCAGACTGAAACAGATAAAATACAGACGCCAAAAGCCAGAAAGAGACATGAATGTTAATTTAAAATAAAATAAAAAGAAAAACTCTACCGCGCAAGTCACAGTTCTTGACAAATACAGTCTGCTCATGTAAGGTTGTTCAGTTTGTTCTGGTTTTAAAGTATATAGACAATAAAGTTGTATATCCTGGTATATCTTTCTATTTGAAATAGTGGCTGAAAAATGTGGAAGAACGTGAAAAGGATAAAACTAAACAAAAGCATATTCCCTGTGAGTCAATACTGAGGGCGGAGGAGCTAGAATGTTGGAAGAAATTAGGGATAAATTCCTTCTATGTGATCCCACGAATGATGATGCGGACAGGGAGAGGTAGAAACGGGCAATGAGAAAAACACATGGATTAGTGCCAATGCTGCCCCCCTCCCCCCCACCCCCGCCCCCGCCCCCGCCCAAGGGTGTGACAGGGAATCTGATCGCAGCGCTACGAGGGTCAAGTACTGTCAAAATAAGCCTCTGTCGCATCTCATCAAACAACCAACAGTCTAAATAGCCACCATAGCAAGTACCCACCAATGCAAACCCAACCCAATCACACACATGTTTCACAGTTAACTTTTCTCAAAGAATTCTTGTTTGTTCCGCTTTATCACATGCAGACAGTAAGAGGGAATGAAGCTGCAACAGAAAAGAAACACGCAATACCAACCAAAGATGTGACCACATTACACACAAACAAAGCCCACAAAAGCAGCGCCAACATTGCTTTAGATTTACTGAGACACGTATCACGCCAGCAGCTAATATTAATGCATTAACATGAATTACATCAACTGATATCAGGCCTGTGGCGGTGCGATACACTAGCCTTATAATGCGCAGGCTGAACATCAGGGAAAAGGGTCTGTCCTTTATTATATGGTCTCCAAGTCCTCTGCCTTACTCCCATCTGAATCTCATCACAAGCCTTGTTGACTACTGGTCTTGTTAGAGACAGTTTCAATTCATATTAGTCCAGGAACACAGGACAAAGGAGAACAGAGGAGGAAAGAAAGGAGAGGTGACTAATGAAAGTAACACACCTTTGCTTGATTCACGTTCTTAATCTAAGTAATGACTCCTCATCAGTTGTTTTTTTAACAACATATCACGATTGCTTTTATGTCACTGAAATACAAAAAAACAACCCCCTGTCTGCATCTCAGAAAAGTATGAATTAATTAAAAAGGGAATATTCCCTCAAAGGTTTTCCTTTAATTACCTGATCCCATCTGAAAGCATGGTCATAACCTGATTAAATTTGAGAAACAAAGCAAACTTCTAGTCTCAATAATGAGATAAAAAAGCAGTGAAACACATTCGGGCAAAACAGACTCCAAAAAACACACCGGAGGAGAATTAAAGGCAATCGGGGCAGAAAGACAAAGGAGGAGGGATAGTTAATCCTCAGGGTAAATATTTAACAAGCTCAGCAATTACAGTGAAGGCAGAGACCTAACATGGAAGAGAAGGGAATTACAGCCTGCTGACTGTCAACACACACACACACACACACACACACACACACACATACACACATTCACATGGACCTTCTTGCTTGGGGAACTGCCTAAAAATGCTGAAAATATGGATATCCTGACCTAAAATACACATTAAACTAAAAACATGGGACAAAGAGTCCCACAGAGCCTGTAGGCTAAGGACTGATGATTTGGATTTTTGTATTATTGTCATTATTATTATTCTTATTATTATATTTTTTTTAAGGGGTCTTAGCCCCTCTGGACCTGTGGCCCATTTTCACTGGCTCGGCATGCTTCACCTGCGCCATGGAAAACAGGATTATAAATGCATTTCCACTTTATCCTCTCAACTAGAAACAGGCAGCAGAGTAACTATACACCTTTGCAAAGAAAGGAGGCAGTCATATATCTCATTGTGTCCGTAAACACATCACAACTGAATCTCATGAAATATGATGAATAAGGGAAACTGTGTGAAGAGAATCTCGGTCTGATGTCGACTTGTTATTTACACATACACACTGGCAGGCATACAGACAGCCTAGGGGTTTATTTACATACAGTGCATAGGTACACACTGTTCACTGGGCTCCACCCTTGAGGAGTCACGCAACAGAGATGACAGGCAGAATCTCAGTGTGCTTCCAAAACCACCTGCTACTCCATTTCCCTTCTTCTAGCCTGTCTCTAAACCTGGTCACACACTGTACATGTAATTCCTATAATTTTCTTTTAATGGAGTTACTTAAGTCAGTAAATCTGTGTTTCAAAAAGACAAAACAAATTATACAGTACAGCCAGTTCCTGTACCCACTTAGTCACCACTAACTGAACTGGACATCAGTCATGACTGAGTATCAACTTCACACAGTCCCCCCTGTGGACAAAAAGGAGAACTGCATCAGTATAAGCAGTAAAATAATCATAATTCTTTTTCTCTGACTGAAACTGTTTATAGATGTAAATGAAACTTAAGGCTGCAGGTTTTGTGGTTTCATAGCATGCTGTCAGTGAATGACTCACTGTTCAAAAAAGTTGAAGCGTTAAAAAAAAAAAGAGCAGATTATGACTGTTGTTCCAAACCACAGGAAGGATGTGGATATGTACTTGCTGCTCATCTTAGATTTATCTGGAAAAGCTCTGGACACACTCCATGTTTAAATATCAGTGGAAAAACTGTGAGAGTAAAGCGAGTTGACCAAAGAGAGGGAGGGCAGAGGTTGCACATGTGTACAGAGCCAAAAATCCCTCATGTTCCACTCTGATTAATCTCATTAGTGTAGCATCAAAAGACAGCTAAGCCGGTCACTACTGCCACTGATAACAAGGCATCCAGCAGAGGCAGAGCAAACAAATAGAGGCTCTGGTGTTAATAGAGCTGAGAGTTCAGAGGAGGAGATCCTAAAATAATTCCTGATAAATGCCAAATTTACTGTTAATATAAATGCCTAAAAGCTTACTGTGACTATGGAAGGTGTGCACAGAAAGCTATTAGCACTGTCAGACAATACACAAGCAATATCACCACTCACTTTCAACACACCTTTCAACACTTTTAGCAGTTTCACACACATGACTGAGCCTTCTCCATTTTCCAACAGGGAGGGCCCCTTAGAGCCCCTGCTTGCCACTGACACTCGTCAGCACTCTTCATTGAGGCAGCGGTGGCTGTCTTTATCTGTGCGTGATCGCTTATCCACGAAAGACACCTTAAATAAGTCCGATTAGCACCTGTGCTGCAACTTTGCGTGATGGCTAAGCTAATTGAGCATTCAGGGTAAAACAAGTAAGTGTGTGTGTGTGTGTGTGTGTGTGTGTGTGTGTGTGTGTGTGTGTGTGTGTGTGTGTAAAGTTGCATGACTCCGGCCAAGAGGATGCCAGCTGTTGGGTGCCATGCCAAACCATGGAAGCAGATGATGGAGATTAAGGATCAGAGGAGGAGTAGGTGAAAGAGGGGAGACACATGTGTCGGAGAGGAGATGGCTGCAAAACCTTCAGCTGGTCAGAACTTTACAAATCCCTTGCCAACTTCTCCAAGAAAACCACTTTCGATGTGGACTAGGAAGGCAGTGAGCCCCACAGGACCTCTCCACAGCTTCCTCTTTCTACTTGCAAGGATCTTCCCTGGCAAGACAGAGGGAAATGCATATTTCTTCTAAATAAAATACTAACTCTTGTTTTTTCAGAGCTGTCGCATCCAGCTGTGCCAGTAGCCTCTGTGCTGATAAGGCAGCCGCTGAAGGCCGGCGGCAATAAAATACGCTCTGAAGCGGCCCATGAATATTTGAAGTGGATTGTGGAGCAACATGAGGAGAGGAAGGGAGGCGTTCAGTGGATGGTGGGAGGGTGGGAAAACAAGAGAGTACCTCGATATGCCTTTTAATTACATGTGACTACAAGACAAAAAGGGAGTATCAGCAACACGGGAGAATGAGATAACATAAGAAATACATTCTCTTCAATATCAGCTAATGGGGCATGACCACAAAATATAGTGACTGGAAAAAAAGAAAAGCTTCATAAAAGACAACGCAGAAGAGCACACCCCCTATAATGCAAATAATGTATCCTTTGCCCCTTACATTGTAAGGTAGTAGCTCTTATCTAAGTTCAAGTCATGGAGCCTGACGGATTCTTTCTCATGAGGCCCATAGAAAACGTTTCATTGCTTATTCTGAGAGTTTACTATAACTGGATGCACTGCTGACATATGAGAGAGAGAATGCAGATGGAAGCAAAACAGATTCATTTACTGAGCATAATCTCTTTCTGTTTCAGCCACATATTTGAATCCTGGACACCTAACAACAGCATTCAGCACAGGGTTTCAAAGGATAAGTGATGTAAAAAATCTTTAAAGTGACAATTTCCACAATACTGCAAAATAGTATTTTTCTTTTCTTTTCCTGAAACCAGGATATTACTACTTCTAGGGCTATTACTATGACAAATACACATTACTAATATTGATAAAATATTGTTGTATACTTATGTAGCATCTCATCTCAGAATCAACATTGACCTATAAGCCAGTTACAGCAACAGATATCTCATTAACCCCATGTTCATGCCAACTCAGCAGCTTACTACGAACTCAAAGACAAATTTCACACACAAACAAACCAAATACCCCAGCCCCCCAACCTGTCACAACAAATGTCATCTTTACCTTGGAAGAAACTCTTGACGCGGAGGTAGGAAACTGCGAGGCGCAGCACGGACAGCTTGTCCAGCTTGGAGATGACATCCGGGGGGAACGGCAGCAGGCTGGCCAGCCGGTCCAGCTCAGCATTCAGCCTGTCTCTGTGCCGCTTGGACGGGTTGGTTTTCTCATTGGAGGAAGACGGCTTCCTGATGACGAGACGGAGAGAGGGGAGAGAGATAGATGGGGTTGAATGGCCATCAGGATGTGTGTGTGTGGGCAGACTTGTCAGAGATCATGCATTCAGCTGTAAAATAAGAACCGTTTTTTGCTAAATGGCCCTAACTAAATCTTTTTTTATTTTCCTCACTGCACACTTACTCAGCAGGCAGTAAGTGACAGCAGCACACTGACACGGATTAACTTGGTTAACTTCACTTGTTGGAGCCACGCTACTGTTACTTGCAAAGTTAGATTGAAACTCATCCACACCACATGACGCAGGCCTTTTCTTAAAGCTTACACGGTCAGACTGCCGACCCCTGATGGTCTTGGGCTAAAAGATAATGTTATTCATGATCAGTGATATAATTCTAAACTCTGGCTAATATTCTGCATTTAATGTATTTCACCACACAAAACTTCACAACGCTCATATCCGCTCAGTTTCTGGGGAAAAACTGGAGTAATGCCTGACTCTTAAGACTGTTTATTGGGTGAAAATAGGGCTCTAAACTATTAAAGGAAACATTCGTATGAATTCATAAATAGTTACCTGTCAGTTTTGCCTAATATTTGTTCCTCATTATAGCGATATAAACTACAGGATCACACTTTGTCTAACTCTGGCAAGCCAACCCAAGTAGACATACAATAAAATAAACCACACTCTACACAAGTCACTCTCTTTTCAAACTGTATTTCCTTTTGACTCAGCCTTCCCCAATACACCATGCACCACTGGTTTGTATTTCCTCTGATGACAAGTTAGATTTGTTTCTTCACAACAAGACAAAAAAACAAAAAAAACACTTGAGTCAAGTTTCTCTTCCTTTAAATCTTAAAATAGGTTTACATTAAAGAAAGATATTTGTATTTACTCAAATACTGCCGTACTGGCCGTTCCTTCCCTCTTAGCAACTCCTGTCAGTAAATGTGTTGGACATATACTGCATAGATCCCCTTTGGTGACATAGAGAATTTAAACTGCTGCTAAGGCACAGAGTTATTTGTGTATTTTAGTAAAGTGTACCACAGCTTCACCAGCTGAACTTAACATGATCCGCATATGTAATGGTCAGCTCCGATTTCCACAGCTGAGAGTTTGCGTTCATCTCCACAGAGACGGAATACTTTTACATGATCGCATTGACTTTGTTGTATTCTGATGAAACAACTCATAATCACGTATTCTTCATAAGTTACGACTGGAAAATACACACAGGAATGCGAGTGGATGTCAAGGATTATTCAGCTAAACTCAAGTAGTAAAAAGTTTACTTCACTTGGAAGTCCCACAGTATTTATTAGGAACTGAAGGAGCCAAAACAAGAACATTTCAATAAAAAAAAAAAGAAGCAATGTTTAAGACGAATGGATAACTGGATGCACTGAATTATAATTCAATATCCTAAAATAACTTGCAGAGTAGAATTTCAAAAGTATAGGTGTGCCCATTGCACAAACAGTAACGATTTGATGTGGCAAAGATTTCCTTTCAGTTCAGCAGCACAGGCAAGGCAAAACATGAAAACTTTATAAATGCCACAGGCCCTGTTATATTACCACTTCCCTCTTCAAAATCTTATATAACCTAGATTCAGTATTCATGACATCAGCCGACAAGATCCTCAAAAAACAGTTGTCCTCCTTTTCATCAAAAACAATGGCCAACTAAAATACTATCAATCAAACACACACTATGCCTGCAGGTATGTAGATTGAACGTAATTCATATATATATATATATATAAATCTATGCTAAATGTTACTCTGCTGCCAATAATTAGGGAGGCATATACACATATAAACCTGTACACAAATATACAACCACTTTATAATAGCCAACTATTAGCACTATTAATAAGTGCTATATTATTAACAGTATGTTTGCAACAAATAAAGCTATTCTCACTGATATATCTGATTATATAATTTTATTATGTGCTCAATCTCTATTTAAAGTGGCAATCAATACCAACTGGAGCGTCTACCTTTATTTCCACACCTTCATGTTGCTGCAGCTCAGTAACTTCCCTTTTATTCTTTAATGTACCAAATCATGAGAGTGTCCCCTGTACATTAGCAGGGTAGTAAAATTTAAAAAAAAGGCACCCACAAAATGTGCAGCCAGTCGTCTGCAAGTAGCCATACAAGAAATATAACATATTCAGCAGCTCTCCTTAACTGTTTCTGGATGGGCTTCCTCCTCTTTCGGCCCGCATACATGCAGTCTCCCGGAGGAATCATTGTCGTGCGCTCCGTGGAGGTAACAGGTGCGCTGCGGGTGAGATAGAGAGCGTTAACTTCAACTTAACACATGTAACACAGTGAGCATTCAGACATGTCCCGACCCGTTGTTGCACAATATGCCACTAAAAGTCACTCCTTGGGGTGACATTTTCAGTAAATCCCCGCATCCCTAAAATTAAAGCAAAATAACCCTAATGACGGTATAATTAATATGTAAACAAAACAGGCTGTGCATTGGCTAATTATTAAGATTTATGGCACGTCAAAGCTCAATAGCATACAAATAATTGCCAATAGTTTCAAAATAAAATAACATACAAGCAACTTATCTGATCAATATTTTGAAAAGCACAGGAGACATGCAGGATGCCAGTAAATAAACAATTGAATAATAATGTTAATAACATGGCACATAAATATCACAAAAATAAAAGCACTCACCCAGAATCTCGGCGGGTATCAGTTAATTCCAGTATAATGTCTGCTGTTGAGCCACATTCACTTTAAGTGCAAAAAAAAGAGATGCGTGTCCCTGGGTGCACCGACTCGGTAATGCCAAATGATAAATCCAAGAGAAATAAAACAAATCGGAGAGGTCCTGTATGAGCTCCGAGCTGATGTTTTCATCAGCTTTGCACTGCTCGGGGCAGATGTTGGCTGATGCTTTATACCCAATTGAGTCGCCTTCACTTCCTCGCGTTTCAGGTGGCGGATTCCTCTGAATGACATGTCGAGCTCTTCGCACGCAACTCTCTGCCTCACAAACAGAGCGCAGCGAGAGCACACACACACACACACACACACACACACACACACACACACTAGGCTTAATCCGTGCTGCTTTCAAGTACAGTCTGTTTATGGGAATGGCCCCTTTTCCATTTTCTTATGCTTGCATACATATTAATGACAACTGCTGTTATAAAGACTAGTCCAATAATTAAAAACTACATGACAACATACCCCTTTCTCACTGTGGCTTTTATTTATTTTTGCATACTCTGATAAGCACTAGGCAGGCTACGTTCAAAAGTTGTGTGTCCAGAAGGATTTCCTCTTCTCTTCTTTGGCTACAGCTTCTTTTTGGCTTCCTAAAATATTTTTTAAAATGCCGCCAACAACACCATACCGATACCATCTGTGTTACACTATGTGTATTTTCAACTTAAATCATTTTAAATGCGTATTAGTTATATTTACGAGGAGCACGTGAAAGTAGCAGTAGCCCAACCCGACCTCAGTCGCGCGCTGCACACACATTTTGTGAGCAGCGCGAGGGGAGGGATCACACGCGAAGGGCAGCAGACGCACAAATCTCCAGATTCACACCGAGGCTCTCCGCGGTCGACGGCGCTCACGGACCTGGAGGGGCTGGTTTTGTTTTTTGCCACAACGGCCTGTTAAAGGCAAGTACACGTTTTTACAACCACACCTGGTGTACTTGAATACAGCACTGCTCTGGACCGGACCGGGCTTCTTATAACGAATAATGAATTCAGTGGATGTAGCTCTCGGAATCAAGTTGGCTCTTGGGACAGATTTTGCAGCTACGTGAAGTTTGGTACAGATTACAGGTTTACACCGGAAGATGATTTATGCCTTCAAAGCAAAAGCATTAGTGTGTCATGGATCTAATACACTATCCAATGTAGTGGGGTTCATCTGTAGAGTCTGGAGTAAAATGTGACTCCACTGTGTGTGAACGGATTAATCTATGTCGCACTTATTTCTTAAACTATATTTTCAAAGATATGAGTAATCTAAGTCGTTGCGTGTACGCCTTACTTTGTAAATTACAACCGGAAGTGTTCTTACAATCTGGTTGACTTGACTTCGATTCCATTCCTGTAAAATATTGGATACCAAATTTAATTATTCATTGACTAATTAAGACACGGCCGACTAACTCATAGAGTTTGCATGTCCTAAAATGACTGCGTCGTGATTGTAAAAGTAAAGTGGACGTCAAATTAAGCGGGTAGCCTTTATCTCATCGGTTAAAACTGATTTTAGTAACCAATAAAAGCGTTACTAGCCTGGATGTCATACAATGTAGCTGGTTATGTTTAAACAAAATTATGACTGGTCGAAGAAAAAGCTTCAAATATGACATATAGTCTCGAGGCAGTGTTTGTTTTACCAACATCATATTTTTCGGTTTAGATATTTGTCTTTAATATTGCTATAACAAGTGCTTATAAAAGGTTGCCTCAGTTTTCGTGTGTAAGAGCCATACACAAAACCAGTTGCTGCAAAATGCAAGCCCGAGTCGTTGAGTGAAGTTTCCTTTACGGCTACAAATGGCTGCAAAAATAAACGGAGGAGGAACAAACACAGACAGCTTGTGTCACGCCGTGCTCATATGATTCTGCACTAAAGCTGTATGGTGTTGTAACTGTATTATAATATGTTTTATAGATTAAAAAAATTTAAATAACCATTAAACATGCTTTTATGTGTACATTGACTTTTAAATGTTTTTACATTTTTGTTTTGATAGTTGCTTGTAACACTTTATAATAATAAAGTATGCCACTGTAACATGTCTGGTCATTGGAACATTATAATATATAACAATAGCCTGAGGAAATATGCACAGTATGTAGTCTGTGTGGCAGCCTACTGTACTGCACCCTAGTGTGCAAATCCGTGCACTACAAGCAGTACCCCCCTTGAGCACACATTGCTTATTGTGTATTTATGTGTACTAAATCATGCAAGCTTATGGCTCAGATACACTTTTTAAATAAAGATGACAAAGTAGAGGGGAATCCTCTTGGTGATGTTGTGCCACATGTGATCACACATACAACTATAGTAATAAGAAAACACATTAATGGTTGTTCACGTTCTTTTCTTCTTTTGCTGAATGAGTTGCTTCATTTCCCAACAAAATTAATGGACATAAAATGACAAAAGCAAATTCACTGTGTGTCTCTGCACAACAGAGTGAGTAGAAAATAGATACAAACAGAGTAACCTATACTACCAACAATAGTATTCAGAAGGGCTGTATTAGAAATCCAGCATTGCAATTTTACCTATTATATAATAAACAACTGCAAAGCCTGGGTGGTTATTTATCACATACTGTATATATGTGTGTGAAATCTTTACTGACAAAGATAGCAACAGTCCACAGTCACATGGACAAGATGTTATGCTGTGACATGGCTCCACCTTCTAAGGTTTTAAGATTATTTCTAAATACCATGCTGATGTATTAAAGTGTCCATCAGGGCTGATATTTTATTTGTTGTAACAGGTGGGATTGGGGGTCTGAAAAGTCCTAAGGTCGAGTTAACACTGTCAGTTGCTGCCATTAAAGCTACAGGGAGCTTTGGTATCAATGCAAATCCACTGGCAACAATATCTAAGCAGTCTTCCAGATTAGCCCAGGTTTAAAGCTCTGCTACCGCTGCTGGGGGAAACCTTTGCACGCAACCGTGTGTGTGTGTGTGTGTGTGTGTGTGTGTTTGAGTGCATGTCTGTGTCTGCTTGCGTGTGTATATGTGTGCTTACAAGCATGTGTGTGTATGTGGCTTTATACACATTTCAGAATAATGACCACAGAGCCAAATAGGACTCAGTGAACGCTATCTGCCAGGTGCAATAGTGTGGCTTTCATTGATTAAGATGTCTGTGTTAGCAGCATCGTGGGATTTCAGGAGACATGCAGAGCTGTGACAGGACAAGTCTGATTCTAATGGACATTCATTATTGATGGGATGGTCAGTATTGGAAAGACAACTAAAACATAATTAAAACATAGCTAAAAATCTTGACTCCATAACCAAGTGGATGTTCATCAGCAACCTTTTGAATATGTGAAAAAACTATAAGAGAAAATATTATAAATATCTAAATTTTTCCACCAATGAGTGGGGTCGACAGAGGTGTTGACCTTACTCACACATGACTCTGAACTCAGAGAGCAGGAGGAGAGTTCGCAGTCTGGAAAGTGCTGTCGCAAAGCAGGAATGATGTTGCCGGGATTTACAGGGTCGGAGTATAATCCATGACAGCAGAGTTAATGGACAAGACCGGCTCAAAGGGTACTGTGGGGTCAGCCAGGAAGCATGTTCTGACAGGAAATACTGTGCAGACATACATGTACACACACACACGAAGACCAAAACAATGGTACAGTTTCAGCAGTTTAAATTCATTCACGTTCACAAATGCTGGAACAAACAATCACATCCTGACCCTAAAGTTTTTAATACCACATTTGAACAGATTGGTGGTTTTTTTAAGGGGGGGGTACAAGGGATAGATCTGCTTTGATTTCATAAGACTATGAAATTAAATCCAGGACTGAATTCCACAATGAACTTGAAAGGCGCGGTGTGAAAAACCATAACGAAATATGACTACTACAAAACCAATGCATGCGGTATTGACTAGTGCAGTGTATTGGCAAGAATCTGCCAAAACAATACGTAGCACGATACAGGAGTTCCGATTTAATAAATTGCGATACTGTAAGCAACATATTGTAATTTCTTATATTAAATCTAACCGGCCACCATATGCATGAAGTCTGAGTAAACCACAACAGAATCTGCATTTGTACTTATCAAGGTCCCTGTAACATCCATCATAATACCCCTTTACAACACTGCAATCTAGGTGTTGGGCATTTAAGGACAAACATTTAGTTTTTGAGAATTGACAGAATATCACAAAATAAAATACAGTGATATGATTTTTAAAATATTTTCTTACACCCCTATAATCGATCGAGAAGTTACTCCGGGCTCATGAATGGGTTCATCCCAGGATTACAGAACCGTCAAATTGAGATTCAGTAGCAAATACAACAAGGAACAGGGCATTACAATACACTGAAAAGTATTTAAACGTTCCAAGAGTACAGTATGTTCAAAGAAATTATAATGAGTCAGAAACGAGAAGCCAAATGTGATACACCAGTGTGTGTACACTCCTGGAAGTAAATCAAGCAACAAAGGAACCATAGCTCATTGACACTACTGTACTTACTTACATTCTGGATGATGTGGAATGAGGTGTGAATAAAAAAAGACATGAGATGTTCTAAACATAAGATTTTGTGTTCAGCAGGACTGGATGATCAATAGTTCCTTCAGTTATGGAAAGTTTGGCATTTTCTAGAATTTGTCATCCTATTCTACCTTACAGTAACATAAAAGTTTGTGCAGTTAAATTTCAGTAGTTTTAAACTCCAAATAACTGTTTTGCTGGTTACACGCGACAAGGTATTATCACCCAACAGAGTCACAAGATAATGCTACAAAATACGCTGCAAGCTCGTGCACTGCTGTCACGTTTAGGTCAGTCCCCGTATCAAGAGCTGTGTCAATCGGGTTGAGAAGGAAATTGTGTTTTGGGACTCAGTGTGGATAATCTTTTGTTGACATTTGGATTTGGGTTTTTCAGAAGGTCATTTTATGATCAAAACAAGGGTCAGATGGAGGCTGTCGTCCTTCTATGCTCCCCTCAATCTGTCTGTAATCTGCTGCGTGTGTGGTTCTGTGTGAGCGTGAGCTACATAGAAGAAGAGAGGGGCACAAAGAGACAGTGAAAGGGCCACAGTGTTGTGTAACACCCAGCATGCTGGGAAATCCTAGGAGCAAATGAGTCACTTTTGCAGAGATGAATGTTGACAGCGGAATGCTAATGTGAAATCAGGCTGCAACTGTTTGTTTGGGCATAGTTTACACAAACAATACACAAAGCTATGATAATTGTGCATGCTGTTTATTGGATGCGCTTC